TAGGATTTGACCACAGTTTAAAGAGAAAAAAAACTAGGCTGACAATCAGTTTCCTTTGCAAAATTGTGAATTGCCTTTTTGTACGCTATTCCCACATCCCTCTATCGTTGAGATGCCGACATGTTGAATAAAACATTACTACGATTACTACAGATAAACCTAGAAGTATTTATAGTAGCAATATTACCATACCATAACATTAATATCAATCTGCGAACAACGATTTTGGTATTCTATACATATAAAAAGTAAGGCCGCGACTTTCGGTTTTCCAGTTGAAATAGAAATGCGATAGAATGAATTCAGCTAATGTATTCAACTGATTACCTATTCTAATTAGCATTATATACAGAAATGTCCACGAAATGAACATTTTCCCAATTTGATTATCTGTTCCAATATCGGTTATGAAGATAAGTGATGAAATGATACTACTGTGAAAAAGTCACGTCAATGGTCGATCATAAATCGGTTCACATCTCAATGAATTCCAATTTTATGAAAGTTAGTGAATATATTCAGCGTAATTTGTTGATATCAACAATGAGTATTGATTTTTACATTGTAATTTTACATCGAAATGGCTTCAATTCGACTTGTAATGTTGCTGGTTTTGATCACACTGATACAATAAATATAGTGGTCAGCGAAATTGATGAAGGCAATGGAAATGGTGATAGCGCGACCAAAAAGCACGATGAATACAAAACCGAGAACGCAATAGAAAAACGATTTGATGTCCCGGGATTAAAATAATAAGAATTAAGTAAAAGTAGATAACATTTTCATCTATCACAGATTGTCTCCCCGATGGACTGCAACTTAATTAGTTGACTTACACAATCTATTACTGTCACAGTGTGGTAGATCACATGATAAAATCAACAAAAATATTCAAAAAGAATACTGAAGTTTGTTGTGTATTCAATTGTGATACTCAAGTATTTTCTTTAAAACAGATGCAAAAAGCATAGTAAATGTTGTGTTAATTTGTTATTCTAATTTGGGAATCTAATTTTGTAATATTAAGGAGAATTTCAAGGTACAGCTACAATGGCGCTAACAGTGTCAACTGAGACCTGAGACTTTAATACAGCAATACTGCGAATTTGGTGTATTTGACATCCCAATTGTTGTTGTTTTTTTTTTATAGTGTACTTGTGTTAAAAAACTCATGTTGCATAGAATGACAATAGACCAATAACCTGTAGACTGGCCAGGCAGAATATACTGTAAAACATATCTTTTTAGCTAGCATGTTATTTTAGATAATCTGTGTGAAGCGGTTATTAACATTTCTCCAACATGCTTACACAGGGAAGCCAAATTTAGTAACAATATCGCCAATTAATTATACAGGATTGGGGTCAAACATTAATACCACGTAACGAGCCTCGAGCAAATAAGACGCAAGGAGCAAGTTTCAAGCAATATTTAGTAAAGCAAGTTAATTAGCCAAAAATATACAAACCATCCACAGGCGCTATTTATTTATTTAACTAATTTAAGATGCAGCTAATTTAACAGAAGATATATTCCCACAGAGCGTGTCATTCCATGCAGGTATTTCAAGGTGGTCTACAGTATATTGTTCAGTTCTTGAATTTGTAAATTGCCATATACGTACGGTATTTCTCTATTCCTTCATCATTGAGATACCGTCCTGATAAATAAAACATAACAACTTTTACCACACTACAGATCAACCTAGACGTATTTATAGCAGCAACATTATCATACCAGAACATTTTCTGTGATTTCAATCTGCGAACAAAGGTTTTGGTATCACATACCTGTAAAGGTAAGGCCGCAACGTTCCGGGATTTATTATTTTTTTTTTGAAACACAAATGCAGTAGAAAGGCTTCAGATAATGTGTTCAAATAATTGTTCATTCCGAATAGTATAAAATGAACACATGTTTATGAAATTAACATAATTTCAAATTAATTACCTGTTCCAGTAACGCGGAATGTAGTAATCCTACCATGCAAATATAATCACATTAATGATCGATAACAGTATGTCGGTAACATATCACTGAAGTCATTGAACATACTCGGTGTTTATCAACATCGATTGTTTAATATACAGTATATCCTGAAATGTCACATAGAAATGGCATCAGCTCGCAGATTGATATTACTGAAATTATTATCGTATGGTAATCGTCGTCATTTTTTATTTATCAGGTGGACATCTCAAACTACAGAGCATTGTGAAAATTTGTAATTTTGCTAATAACACTGTCAGTAATATGGTAGTTGGCGAACATTCTGATGAAAGTGGTAAAATCAATGAAGATGGTTATAGTGTGACCAGTAAACCTGAATAAAGATAAACCCGATGTTGTTTTGGAAAAACGACCCAGTAGGTGGGAAATGAAATAGGGAGGATGAGGTAAAAACAGATAATATGAACAGTCATCATGAATTATCACACTGCTTGTCTGCATCAATATGGACTGCAATTTCATGAGTTACTCCATATGATGATATCAATAAATATAATTTAACAGAATTCCGACGTTGTTTCATGTATTAAACTGTGTTCCTAATTTATTTTGTCAAAGAGGACGCAGAAAACACAGTAAATATCATGTAATTTTTGTATTAATACTATTGAATTACGATTTCAGCAGTACGTGTTTGAAACTAACTAGCTAAAAAATTATATTATATTATATTATAGCACAGTCCCTCTATCCCGGTCTGGAAACGACTAGCGTTCTTTTGTCTCAAACAGCGTTGCGGGTAGACAAGCCGTTCACACCCGGGCCGGGGGAGTCAGGAAGTCAGACAGATTACAATACCGTCAATATTAAAATCGGCAAATTTGCCGTCATGCAAAGCGATACCTCATTGTATGTCTTCACTTTGACTTCAAATTCGGGCAACCGCAAAGGAAACAAAACGTGTAAACAAAATTAGCACTATGAAATTTGGGGTTTCTGAACCCTTATACGCATCAAAACCAACCTACCAACTCATAAACACCCAGTTCCTGCCATGTATAGATTAATATCGTGAGATTATGTACATCTTCTAGTTTTAATAGGGAAAAACTTCGTGTACCAACATGCTGACATCGCTAAACAAATCTTGTCAGAATGGCGTCGTTTATGTTAACGTGGTCGATCGAAAAACCTGCGATATTTCTGATTCTTGGGGGTTGATAACAATTCAAGTCAAATATACAACAACTAATGACCTTACTCGACGGACAGCATAAGACAATGCATCGAAGATGGAGCTACCGCGATTCAACATTAAGATAGAAGATAATATGTATTTACATATTCCTATCTAATGTATGGCAACAGAATGAATACCAAACGTGCTGTAACATGAAGGGTCATGTGTTAATTGCACCTGGCTTCAATGTATTACTGTTTGTCTTAATAATTTTCAACTTTCTCGCCGAACATGAATACTTCATTATCAATACTATCTGTAAAGTCAAACAGTACACATGAACACCACTTCCTTCCTTGAAATATATTACATTAGAGGGTAATTGTGTTCAAGGAAAGACTATATCTTATCTTATCTTTCAATTGTTTAATAATGATAATTATGGGATAGCTTCGGTTTATACCTCATCAACACATAATCTTAAACAAACTCGATTCCCTTTTGTTACACATGTAGATTCATGTTCGTTATTTGCGATGAAATTCAATTAATTGATTACCAAAACAGGATTAACTGACAACATTACCAAAACGCTGTAATATATACACATTCAATGGTATCAGCTGGTAAGTACTCACTGGTGAGTACCATAAGTACTGGTTATCGATAGAGATTATGTACAGGGTTATTTGTGAGAGACACTAACGTCTCTTGCAATAATGTGCATACTCACGGGGATAGTAGATAGGTCACTCAAAAAATCGAAACGCCACACAGTGGTGCAACGAAAGAAAAATCCTCGGAGATAGATGATTTATAGACTATTTTGTTGTAAATAATCTTCCTTACCACCATAATTTCACCTTGTATTTAATCACTGAAAATGTAATAATCGTATTTTATATTTAGACTCATACAGCGCTTCATAAACTAGTCTTATTTCAGACAGAATTGTAGAAAGCATTGCATGAACAATATTATCGGGACTAAAAATAAGTGGGATATATGATAATTACGTTTCTTCAACTCCAGAACATAATTTTTTCACACAATATATCTAAATGTTTGAAAGTATTTTTGAGTAACATTCGTTCATATTTCTGTTATTTTTTTAGTTTGACGATATGGTAAATGTGAATTTTATATTTTGAAATAAGATTACGTCAAAATAGTATAATGTCATATAACCGATACTGTAATACATTGTGCATGGAATTTATATGCTGGAATTAAACTTTGAAATTATGATAGTCCTTGAATTGAATATTGTGATAAATATTGAAAGAGACAGCTACAATGGCACTCTACTAACAATATGTTGCATTGAGTCAGACTTAAGAACAACATCCTATCCTTTGAACTGGTTCCGAAATGCCTCTTCTCTAGGTAGAGCAGTACAATTATGTATTCTCCAAATGTCCACTATATCATATTTATCTCTAAAACTACAAAACTGTCATCTAGACACGGATACTACCCCAACGGCGATCCAGGGCAAGGTTTGTGTATAATAGTAAGTTCATTATTACTACTTCTAGTACCATGGGATTGAACGCAGCATTATCTAGTTTGACTAGACCAATGGGTATTATGGGTTCCCGAAAAGAAAAAAAAAATTGTAATTTTTATTTTAAATTCAGGTGAATATTTTCAAAATAATTCACCAGATCTTAGGTTTTGAGTGTCAATATTTCCAACTTGATCGCCATAATATTTAAATTGTCTAAATAGATTACCTATTTCTCTTGAGATACGGCTCAAATCACAACAATACAAACGTAAGCACACAAACATAAGACAACAGAACATGCAACATCAATGTAACAATACCAAACACGTTCAATACATGTAGATTAGTAACGTCTAAATACACAACAAATGGTCGCATAAATTACAGGCTCAAACAAAGCGAAAAACATTAACAATATTTCATCATAACTTTGAAAACAGGCAGAAACACTCCTCGCTGAATAACACGAGATGAACAATGTCGTAGGAAGTACAGTGTGAACGATTGCATCACCACTAAATAAAGTATTTCTGACGAATTCACTGGATAGCATCACCCGAACACATAATAAACAAGCTCAAAAAGGAGGAACTAAACTTAGTTAAGTCATAAAGTCGTTCTTACTGAAATTTATAGATCAACCCAGCACATCGACCACTACGATGAAGTTAATAACGATGATATATCTAAGTTTCTGGCCTCAAAACACTGGCATGTCACGGCAACCATGCCGGCTCCAGAACTTCCCTTCTGTTTCTTACTTCCGGTTTCTCAACTCCAATAATGACATAGTCAGAACCCGTCTATAAATGGCGCTAGATTGTCAAATGCCCAACTAAATTTTTTCTTTTTGTAGTTGGGATCATGAAGGATGGTTGGGTGACGAGCTTGACACTGGGTACAGACTGCTCTATTTCTGCAATTTTTACTGAAATACCCTGGTCTTAGACAGGCGAAACAGATGCCTTTTGACATTAAGAAATTCAACTTGACTTCTCGAGGTTCCTTACATAATTTATCACATTTCTCCATGGCATGTTGAACATCTTTGCAGAAAGCACAGGGTCTTTCGAACGATAGCCTTGCTGGTTGGCTTTGAGCATTGGTTTCACCTTGGGGTTGGTCTCTTACTTAGCTACACTGATCTGGCTGGTTGGGAGCTCCTTTATTCTATGTTTTGACAGCCGCATAACTTCCCTTCGCTTTATTGGAGTATGCACAAGATTTATTACCAGCACCAGTTGTATTTTCGATATGCATAGCTTGTTTTCCAAACATGGGGTCATTCACCGTTTTAGACTCTGCTTTCACGAATTCCACCAATAGCTCAAATGTGACAGACTTCCCTTTCTGTTTAGCATCGTGGACTTTACTTCTCCATATAATATGGCAGCCTTTTGTACCAGGGCTTTCAGGTGATTGTGGATCTCCATTGTTTTTAAGGCATCAATGCTCTGTGTGGCATGCTCACACTCGCATAGGAATATGGCGAATTCATCCAGTGATTTTGCATTATCGGCTTTGATGACTGGCCATTCTTTGGCTTTCCTCAGATATGCGTTGGTGATCATCTCTACATTACCATACCTTTCCTCACGTTACTTCATGGCAGCCGGATAGCCAATCTCAGCATCCAGGTAGCTGTAAACCAATCACTATTTTGTTAGCTTCGCCTACTGTGTATTGCTCCAAATAATTCTTTTCCTCCATAACGTCCATAACTGACAACATTCAGGCATTGAATTGACGGACAAATCTTTTATATTCCATGGAATTTACACCAAACTTCTTTATATCAGACTGAGGCTTTTTTTAATTCCCTGACAACTGCTAGCAAGTCCCTTCTCAGTTGACCCACCACTCGTCACAGAGAAACCATGATGAGCATCACCAAGGGTACCACCACGAGAGCACATACCACGCACATCGCGCACACAGGGGACGCCCATGTCACCACCATCACACACAATCACATTTTCCGTTTAAGGTTGGTGGATCTGGCTAAGAGTTCGGCGCTCTTTTGATCTTCCATGGCTCTTGCCATTGTTAATGAACTAACATGGAATTGAATAGAACTTGCATGTCACTTTCTGGAACGAGACGAAGTAGCTCTACTAAACTGAGAAACACTGTCCCCTGATTTTACATTAGCGGCGAGCAGATTTCTTGCCTCACGTTCTTCATCACGTATCCACTTTGTTGTTTTAGCCTTGACATCTTGATAGAACTTGTTATGTGGAGCATACCACTCAACATAGTCTAAACATTGTTCATCAGATGAAAGATATTGTTTGTATTGATCGTGACTGTCCAAAAAGTCCTCATATAATACCATCCAATGTTTGAATACCTCTCTCAGTGATCTCAAATCTGTCTCTGTGTTTGTTATTAGGGATATCAAAAGATCTGACCTTTCATTAAGCTGTTTGCACAATGCAGTGTGGTTCTTGTATTTAACCTCTCGGAAATATGCTCTTCTTTTGTCAGTTGGGTTTCTTACCCTCCTTCGGCTTAACAGGGCTTCCATGCCTTTCATCATTTCATCAGTGGATGCATTTAGTTTGTCAAGTTGTTCATTCATCTTTAGATACTTGCTTCTATCTTGAAAACACTGATCAAATTCAGATGTAATGTTAACAACATCAGTGATAAGACTGAATTATGACCGTGAAGGATGTCGCTGTACCAAAT